GGCGTCCGAGATGGGACCTTTGAGAATAGTGAAGCATAGTGGGCAGAGAGTTTTACCAACTTCTTTCTTTTGCGACACCAAAGACTGGGACATGTTTCGGACCACAGAATCACTTTGGGTATCTGGCTGCTTTGCAGCCATCTTTGCAGGCTTAGCCATGGTGCTGTTTTGTGGCTGTTGATTGCCAGCTGAAGAGGCTTCTGGGTTCTCCTTCATGTTATAGGTGGTTATAATAAGCTGAACATTTTTGGGACTTCCTTGTTGAAGCGTGAGATCAAATGTGAGAGGAGAACCAGTTGACGGAATCATTGGCTCGTTAGGGTGAACCAGCCGCTTGTGTGCTACAATTTTCTCAACTTCGTGAAATGTGGAATGACAATGAGGGCATGATAGCCCATGCACTAGCATATGGTTCAACAAAGAGTCGCTGGGTAGGTAACGATTACAGTACAGACACTTGCTAGTAAAATTGTGGATCTTCATGATGTACTTAGCCATTGCCCTCACCTTCTCTGCCTGGTGTTCCTTTTCAAAGTGAGCACTATATGTGCCTTCAGGGAAAAGTTCGTTGCAGATGGTGCAAATCTTCCACTTTTGTGTTTGTGACGTGTTCAGGGCATTGGCTGCAGCTTTCTTGGCCTGCAGTGACGTCAATGTGGCAGTAGCAGCATGCACTGATGAAGAGAGAGGTAGGCTCTTCAGTGAGGGGGAAAAAGAAGCTGAATGTGCATTAAAGTGTCCAGCAGCACCATGGACCGCAAAGCTACCAAGTTGCTTTCCCGTGTGTGACTGGGAGACCGCACCAGACACAAAAGCTTTATCAGGTAGTGTAACACGCACTGGTTGACCAGGCATTGAGTTGCCCGCAAGGCTTTGCTTGAAATGGTTTCCGACAGGTAACCCTACCATTTTAGGCATACTGAAGCGATTTAATTGAGGTGTCTGAGGACGCACACCGGGAGTGATCGCAACACCCCTTTGGATTAGGTTGGCCTGGGGCCTCGGCACTATGACATTGGTGTGCCCGATCATAGCGGTAACTTGATGGCCAATGCGCTCATGGAACTCAATGACGTGCTGCACCAGTGCTTCATAAGAACGAGGCGTAAAGTGGCAGCTCTTGCAGTGAATTCCATGACTGTTGCCAGGGGTCTCTACACTGTTTTCTTGCTTCTCTGAGTTTTTTCCCAAGTAAGGTGTGGTCACATGCTGGAAGTGTTCCCTGTAGATATGCCTGCGCACCACATTGTACAGTCTATCTCGATAGGTGCACTTCTTGCAGTAGTACACTGGGAGCTCCTTTCGGTCGCCTAGCAAGGGCTTGTCTACCCGCATTCTGTCCCTAACCGCTACTGGAACGCCGTGAGAGCCAGCCGCACCCTGGCGGACCATATTGTGAGGCATATGGAAGAGCCTGACATGAGTTTCCAGAGTCCTCTTGTTCCCACTGTATGTGCAATATGAGCAGTTAAGAAGGATTCGGCTCTCGAAGTCTTCTCTGTGAACATTGCGGAAGTGGTTTTTGTAGGCAGAGAAATACTTGGAGGCAAACGGGCAATCAGAGCAGCAAAACTGCTTTGTTCTGTAGTCCTGCAACATTTTAGAGACAAAACAGAATTACAAAATGTTTATGTAATGTGAAAACATTTTTTGCTTAGAGGACTTCTGCTGCAGTGGCGGACATACCTGTGACTTTGTCCAGGATGAATCCCACGTACAAATGTCAAGGTAAAATTGTTTCATGTGAGAATCACTGGTGGTAACATCTTTGTAGTCCTACAGGAAAATGGACAGGAAATACCATCAGTGAAGGTCTCATTAACAGAGCAGATGTGTGTTTGTGTGCGTGTTAAATTTGATGTTCAATAAGACTTGCGAAACACATTTGCAAACTCAAAAATAATCACCTCCACATGCTCTTTGCAGTAATCAAGGCCAATATCACTGAGCAGCCTCTTGACTTTTTTCCTGGCCTTCCTCAACCGAGTAAGATTATTCACTGGAAGCTGAAACATCTCTTCTATGTATAAAAAAAGAAAGAAGAATGTTAGTTAAGCTCTCAATGATTAAAGATGCAGTCAGCTATCTTTATTTATGTTGAGCAAACCAATACTAGTTATGCATTTAATGTTATGGAAGCAGCATCATGCAAAAGCAAATGTTTTCAGTTGCTATTTTCATTGTAGAAACAGTCTATTTGCAGTCAGTCATGATTAACTTGTTCTAAAATTGTTCCAACAGAAGGCTACAGGGATAAAAGTTAGTATTTATTTATTTTATTTTTTTGCTGCTCATGAGATCTGTTTCTACATGTTGTCCCCAGCGTTTATTAGCCTCATGACAGTGTATGTGACAAACAATTTTAATTTAAAGGAACAGTCCACCTAAAAATGGAAATTTGATCCAACTACTCACTCACTCTCATATTTCTCCAAAACTATGGAGCAATATGACGAAGGCTTTCGCTCCTCATTAAGGTATATTAATTACACCTGACCTGAGATATTACAGCCCCTCCATTGAAAATCCATTATGGCAAAACTGCGACACTTCCATGAATCAAGCAGTTTAAACCAAGTCTTCTGAAATACACCAAGAACCAATGCGGTTTGTTCTGTGTCACAAGCACATTTTAGCTTCCACAAGAACCAGTGACATTTGTTCTCATGTGTTTAGAAAGTATAGTTTAGCTAGTGTTTTTGACTCAAGACTCAAGTTTTTAGTGAATTGACTTTCAGTGGAGGAACAGAAATCTCTCAGGTTTCATGAAAAAATAAACATAAGGTTAGGGGTAAATGATGACAGGATTTTCATCTTTGGGTGAAGTAACGCTTTAAGTACTATTCATGTAAACAATTCAAAAAAGTTAAACTTTTGAATGTAGAAAAAACAGTGAATAGTTGCTAATGTTTTATTTGAACAACAACAACTAAAGTATTAGTATCTGCTTGCATACTGTTTATGCATCTTCATGAATACACAACAATGAAAGATAATTTCACTAGGTGTTCTTTTTCCATCTGGGAAACGAATCAAACGTACGCGCCTATATACAGTCACTGTTTTGGTAGATGTTGCATAATGTAAACAAACCACTTTAAAATAAAACTAATTGATAACCTTAAATGCAAAAAATAGCCCTGCAAATGGGACAGTTCCTCCTATGAATGCAACTCCACTAGACAATACAGGCCACAGCAGGCCTTTTTGATGGGCTCAGCAAAATATACCTCATTTATTTTGACAGACTACGTTTGCGTTGCCCTTACCCGCATGTACAAACTTCGCAATTACAGTAAAGTGCATCTAATTTATAAATATGTTTTTATTTATTTGTTTTACTTTTGCGATAACATGGCAATTCTTACTGCATGCACACAAATGCAGTTAGCACATTAGCTTAGCGACGGGATGTTTGATGTGCACACTGAACTCCACACAAAAGCACTGATGCCAGAGAAAGAAAAACAAGCGTTTATTAATGACATATTACCTGCTTTTCTTCACGGTCTCGCATCGAAATCCTTTCAAGAGTTTCGTTTTCGGACCAAATTAATGGTTGAGTTGAGAGGACAGAGGCAGATTGTGGTTTATTCGGCCCGGGCAGATGCTGCAGTCTTTCGCGCCGCTGCTGCCGCCGGTGGATTTAGGCAACTCATCCTGAGATCCGCACCATGTGTCCTGAACTGGATTTGCAACACAGACTACTAGGAAGTTTCTATTGGTCCTATGAACTTGTTCTTTATTTCTCGATTTGGATAGTCTGTTGTGTCAATTCAATACAAACACTGGGCATAAAAAAAATACTTTTTTTCTTCTCTTCGAGACTGTACCACACACCAGCCCAGCCTGTTCAAAATGGCGGACGGTTGCAAGCGGAAATGACATATATTTGTGTAAAGTTCAAAACAAGGGGCCACGCCACGCTGATGTCTGGTGGTCATTCATCAACCCCACACACACACGACTGACCAAGTAGGTTTAATTAGTTGATTCGCAAAAGAATTGCACAAAGTTTAGCTTTTGTTCTTGAGATTTGCTTGGTTTTATACATCAGTCGAGATGAAATTAAGATGAACTATAGCCTAACACCTTGGTAAATAGTTTCTGCTAAAATAGGCTACCATATTACAGTTGGCTACTAACTAACGTTATATTTAAGTTTAGATGGTTCATTTTTTCACTGGTGTTGTTAGTGATATGACTGGTTCAATGTCAACAACATGGTAGTCATGTTAAGTCCAATCTGCCAGCCTAAGATTGAACCAAAGTGTTTGCTATTTTCTAAATTCGTGTTATAGATCTTGTGAATGTTTCATCCATGAATATGTTTTACTTCAAAAAGTATAAAGTAATTATCAAAATGTCATTATAAATAAACCTGGAAAAAAACAACCACCCTTCTACAATCGACTGCAAGCTCACATGCAATCAACATAACAAGTGAATAACAAGTCAATGAATAAATAATGAGGGCTGGAGCAAAAATGCCCCCAACATTTTAAAAAATGCCCCCAAAGTTAGAGATATGGTGCAAAAATGTCCTTGTATGAGTTCTTGTTTTTAATATTTATAACAAGAGTGCAGTTTTACCAAATATCAGCACAATTTAAAATGTGATAGTCTATTGATTTCATAAAAAAAACAGTTAAATAAACACAAAGGTAATATTGCTGTGATAGTTAATAAAATGATGACTTTCATTTTAGTATATTTTTAAATGAATCTGCATTTTGAACGAATTGTTTGACTGAATGATGGGGCCCTCCTATTGTTTCTTTGAAATGGGCCTCTAAATTGCAAACGTCGCCTCTGTGTAAAACCAAAACTTCAAGCAGACATGGAACTAGATTCTTTTGATTTTTTGTAATGATTTCTTTATTATAACCGACAAATAATATTTTTTTCCCATTATATTATATTAATATATTGGAAGATTTACATGATATAAGGAGGAAAAAATATTGCACATCCTTCACAACACTACACATAGTAACTCATTTCAAAATGTATAATTTTTTATTTTATTCCATCAATGCCAAATTAATCCAGTGGTTGCATCACTTCCAAAGTAACAAAACGGGGTCCAGTCATTACCAGCTTAGAGAGGGTACGATAATCCAGGTGAAGCACACTGCATCCATTCACTCGGCACACAAACTGGCGTACCTAAGTAAAAAAAAAAGAAAAAAAGATTGGAGTCCAGCTGATGATGGATTCTAATTGTTTATTGTGTAAGCAATGTGTTTACGTGTTATGATCACCTTAACTCCTGCTGCCGCAGCAGGGCTTCCAGGATCCACCGCCTGAACATAACAAGGTGATTTTCCCCGTACTACAATGCCCCACCCTAGGTCATCACCGAGGATCTTTAATGATAAAACTCACATTAATAAAACCTGTAGTTCAAGGTTCTTTTCATGGCTAGCTGAGCATGATATGCTAGACCTACCGTAATAACTCTTTTTATATAAGGAGCACCTGGAGAAAACAGCTCCTCACAGGTTACATGTCTTTTCAGCACTGTCAATGACAATAATACATTTATGTTGTGCTCAGAATTTGGCAACAGACAGAAAAAATGTCACTAGTTTTATTTTTGGCAATCTTTCACCTAAAAAAAAAAAAATTAAAATATAACAATTATGTCTCTAACACATTTTCAAAAGCATGGACATGCTGTTCTATAACCTGATGTGGGATTGCATCGTACTGCAAGAGCAGTGGGAATAGAAACATTGAGTGGGTATCCACATGAACTGTGCTGCTGGTGGGTCAAACTTCCACAGTGTCCATCTGTAAGCACATCCATTGCAGGTTCAACTTGAATTAGAAATCAGAATTATGAATTAGAAAAGTTTGTTCACGAAATCTGTTATGTTTATCAAGGCTGCATATTAAATCAAAAATACAGAGTAATATACAGTATAGGCCTATATTATTATTATTATTTTCTTCAGTAATTTGCTCATATTGTTATATTGCCTATTGTGTGTCTGGGGGTCCATGAATAGTTTGGGGTTATGAAAAGGGGCCTTTAGTGTAAAATAAAATAATGAGAAACCCTAGGTTAAGGAGCTAGCTTGCTGACACAAAGGTTGCACGTTGCATATGGATGTGCACGGAAATGTTGAGTTACTGTGCTCATTATGCTTTGATATCTCAGCTGCGCCCTTGAGCGAGGCACTTAGCTTCATATTGCTATATTGCTCCAGAGGGGGCTGACCCAGCAATTATTGTGCCGAAAGTCACTATGAATAAATTGAGCTATTTGCTTAAGTAGGCCTACCACATCTCAAGCCATCAATGCGGTCATAAATTTGTAGTATTTTTTATATATATATTTTTTATACCAGATAAGAAGTCACTTTTGCTCTCAGATGGAAATGTTCTGTGCAGTGTGAAGGGACTGTCTTGGTCATGCTGTGTTTTACATTCGATCTCTTCATTGTCTGTCTCATGCAGCAGTTCAGAGAGACAGCGCCGCCGGCGGAAGTTAATGCAGAATTGATACAGCAACCCGCTGTCAAAAAAGTGGTGCTTCAGAGAGACTGCAGAGTGAAATGAAGAGTGGAGTGATTCAGCGAGGCAAGCAGTTATTGCTATATTCTCAGGTATGTTGCATTAGATTAACTTCACAGGCAGTGCATTTTGGCTTAATGGGGAAATAATACACACACTATCATAATATTTCTTACCATGCTGAATGATATCATGCTCCAGAAGGGCCTTGCAGAGATCTAGTCCTTGCCGCCGACTCTCTATTTCACCATTCTGTAGCAGCCAATCAATTAACATGTAACCAGGGAAAGACCGTTCATAAGCCACTCCCTTTTCCTGTCTCAGCTGTAAGATGGAGTCTTTACTTGGGATAAGGCTGTAAAAAGCAACAGATGAACTTTGATACAGTTATTTTGAAAAAAGAGACTAATAATGAAAATACTTTTACCTATCAATATAGGTTCATGTTAATTTAAACATTTACTACAACCATTCAAACATTTTGGGTCGGTGAGATCTACGCCCACCTATGCTGCATTTATTTGATCAAAAAAAACATAAAAGAGTAATATTTTGAGATATTATTACAAATTAAAATAACTCTATAATTCTATTTTAATATAATTTGTATTTTATTCCTGTGATGGCAAAGCTGAATTTTCAGCAAATCATTAATATGTTGCTATTTTTGGGAAGCAGTGATACATTTTTAAGGATTCTTTGATGAATAGAAAGTTTTAAAAAGTATTTGCTTGAAATAGAAATATTTTATTATATTATTAATGTCTTTACTGTCCCTTTGGAGCAATTTAATCATTTTTTTATCATCAATCATCAATTTAATAAAAAAAAAACTTACTGACCCCAAACTTTTTAACATTTAAATTGACTAAGTACACTAATGCATTAACAAATGTTCTTCGTAAAGTGCTACCAAAAAAAAAAAAGATTAAAAAAGATACCAATTCAGAACAGACTGAAGATCATGAAAACTCTAGGACAACATAATGGACTGGTTGGAAAGTATTAATGAGGAATGACTGCATTTTAAAGCTAAATTAACATTTAAAAAAAAAAAATTAACTTCCTGTGAAAATGTCTTACTGTTCATATAGCCTCTGTCCACGCATGAAGATCTTAACTTCTATGTTGAAAGGAAATGTGCCATCATCTTTTCTGAATCTGTACAAGTATTTGGCATCTTTGAACACGGACCACTTATCACACACTATTAAGATGAGAAAAATGGTAAAATATAAATTGATACAACCTGTTCATTCAAACACAATGAGTCAAATAATGGGTCCAAATATGAGACAACACAGAAATGACCTTGTTGTATCATATTCTTTGTTATTTGGTGTACAGTAAATAATGTTCTACCGTGATGAATGATATCATGTTCCATGAGGTACTGCATGAGCTGGACAGCTGTCTCTCGATCAGATACTTCTTTATGAGCAATCAGCCAATCAATTAACTCCTGAGCCACAAAACAATTCGGGTATGTTCGCAAATGGTGTCTGTGGTCCTTAATCAACTTGCTATCATGTAGTCGTAATCTTCAAAGCACAGATTATTACAACCATTATTATGTACATTTAAAAAAAAATAAAGTAAAAATAAGATTATCACCTGCACTGTATAACAAAATAGTGTTTATATCCAACAAATAATACAATATATAATAAAGTCTTGCAAGTGTTAGTAGGTGAGATTTATAACTTTGTAAGTGTCGTCCTGGGACTAAGCTTTGTGAATATAGCGTACCTTAGCTGTTCTCCGGCAATCATTACCTCAGCTTTTTGGTGTCTTGTCATCATTGTACTTTGAATGTTTCCCGGTAGCTCCATGAATGTTCTGTCAAGGCTCTACTTTTGTGCACTTGTTTTCTTCACTTTATTGGTGCTTTTGTGTTTACTAAATATACAGTGAACCGAGGCACCAGTTTTTCAATGCTTTGAAATGTTGTGTATACAAATATACACGCTCTCTCTCTCTCTCTCTCGGTCACTCACTCTACACATCCTTGTTACAAGAACTTTAAATATTTTAAAATATTTTTTAAATATCAAGTTTAGGAAAATAGTTGATTTTACAGCCAACCTTCTCTAGATAATACATTAAAAAGGAGATGCACTGACTGTTGTTGTCTTAACTGTTCATTTGTAAATGTAAAAATTACCTACCTTATCACATTTTGGAAAAAAAAATCAGCCGTTTCACACAATGGCCACATGGTGTCAGTAAAAGAGCTATCAGAGAAACATACGCCATCATACTGCATGCGTATTCTGACTATCTTCTAACCTGGATAATCATCGTGTCCAAATACCATCTTAACTTATATTAGCTCATCTCACAATTGCTTCCAGTTTGGTGTTTAAACTTTATTTTCAGTTTTTCACTGGCAGCGTCAACCTCACGAAACTGAAACAAGTCGAGGTATCTCACGCTTTATCATCATACTTTTTTTACATTCTCATTAGGCTACTGCATTGCAGATTTAATATATATATATATATATATAACAGTAAAAAAAAATAATTAAGCGCATAGAAATACAAATGTAATACTCTTGTTAAAATGATGGGGATTTTTTATAAGCTATCATGAATAGTGGAAATGGGATTCCCAGATTTTATAGATGTTTAGGTTTTAAAAAAATATTTTTTATATAGGCTATATATATTTTTTAAATGTTTGTTATCTGTCATGTACATTGGAGTAGCCTACATTTTTGTTGCATTTTATATAGCCTATAGTCCATGCTTATATAGCCTTAATTTAGTGTGATGTGCTACCCTGATGGTCTTGTGTTGACTTATCTCTCTTTATTATTATTGGTCACAGACAGTTGCTGGAGAGGCCAACTTTAAGGGATTCTGTGGCCTTCAGTTGCACCAGCCAGTACATTTTACAATGACAATCAGATTTTAGTTCAAATGTAGGCTAAAATAACAATAATAGGAACTGTGAAATATAGATCTACAGTCACCAAAATTGTAGGCCTACAACAATACTGTAATGCTTGTTGTTGTGACTGTCAGATCATTACACTGGAAAGTGTATTGTGTTAGTAGCTTGTTTATTGCACTGCCTTTGACGTAGGCCTATAATTTAAATATAATAAAAAAAACAATAGGCTGCTACAATGAGAATCATATAGCTTACTCAGAACCCTGAAAAACTTGAAAATAAAAAGTACGCTAACCTTATTAATAGGTTTCTTTTTCCTTGTATAAAATACAACTTCTTGTTTTGTTTTTTTCCTTTTGATTTGAGGTAAAAGTAACTTGGACGTGCTTTTCTGAGAGTGACAGCTGTGATGGGAAATAGGGCGTGGTCTCGCTGCGCGGATCCTTTTTAAAGCAGCGTGATTTACTTTCTTTTCAACATACATCCTGCCCTTGTCAACGACAGACCATCTGAGACCGAAACCTGCTCACTTTCCTTTGGCTAAATTGTCCAGGAGGGTGGTTGAAAGCGGTGTCTTCACATTCAGCTCGATTGTATAGCCTAAGTGGTGTTTCAGAACCTTGATGCAACCTAAACCTCAGTAATAAGTTGTTCACTTCATCGAAACATCTGCTGAAATCATGACGGCGGATCATCATGGTCTTCTGGAGCTGGCAAAAAATCAGCTGAATATGGACTACGGTGACTTTGACATGAGGTTTGACGTGAAGAAGGAGACTGCTGCTTTGGGACCAGATCGCTCTTTTATCCAGCAGTGCGGTCTACACGTGCCAGGCTCTGTGTCCAGCACACCCGTGAGCACCCCGTGCAGCTCCGTGCCTTCATCGCCGAGCTTCAGCCCGAGTGGACAGAGAAGCAGTGCTGACGATCTCTACTGGACCCTGAGCACGGGGACTTATCCACAGCACGCGGATCCACACTGTCTTGAACTAACACCCGAGGATGTCCGGGAAGCCTTAAGTGCGAATCTCATGCATGCGCACCCGTCCCAGCTCCACCAGGCAGAGATGGAGGGATACAGGAGCATGGGTCAGTTCCACGCGCCGAGTGTGCATCAGTATCATCATCAGCAGCAGCAGCAGCAGCAGCAGTACACGGAGCTCGGCCACAATCCTGGCTTTGCGCACGGCAAAAGCATGGACCAGTTAATGCAGCATATCGACTGCTCATCTCAAGGCGCGACTCACCTGAAGTCCCACCATCAGACGCAACACAGGCGCAGCGAGCGCGCGGAGAGCCGCTTCTCCGACCAGCAGTTGGTGTCCATGTCTGTCCGCGAGCTCAACCGACACCTCCGCGGTATGAGCAAGGACGATATTATCCGCCTGAAGCAGAAACGTCGTACCTTGAAGAACCGCGGGTACGCTCAGTCTTGCCGGCACAAACGCGTTCAGCAGAAACACACTCTGGAGCACGAGAAGACGAGCCTCGCGACGCAAGTGGAGCAGCTGAAGCACGAGCTCAGTCGGCTGGTGCGCGAGAGGGACGCATACAAACTCAAATGCGAGAGGCTAGTTGTCGGAATGAACTGCCAGAGTAACGGACCCTCTTGTGAAAATCCATCATCGCCCGAGTTTTTGCGGTAGTTCAACCTGTATTCAGGATTTCTGAAGTTTCAAGTTAGAAGAAGATTGTTTGCTGGTTGAGACCCCAAACCCCTCTAAAACCAGTTAAAAGACCAGCAAACCATCTTATGGTTGTTTGTTTGTTTGTTTGTCAGCGGAGGAGAAAGTTTTACTTCTCTTATTCAGTATTTTATATTTTCACTCTACCTTATCTCTGACATGTCAAGCTGGTTTTGATAATGTAACTTTTATCTTTTGAGTTTTCACAACAGCCATCTCAGCTATGCAAATGACATTTGACCCTTTTGGCAATTGATGCATTGCATTGATATTTTTGTTTGTTCGGACAGTTTCTATATCTTTCATTTTGTTTCACTAATCAGTTGTACTATTTTCAAGAATTGTTCCTTCCTTGAAACTTTTGAAGAGTAAATGATTGTGATTTGCTTTGTACCTCCAGAATAAATTTTTGAAGCAAAAAGTTTCTGAGTTCCCTAATCTTTTTTTAGGCTATACTTTTCTATGCAGGCCTATCTTATACACAGGGATGTTTTATATGTAACCCATCAACCACATTGTTCATAAAAAGTCAACACAGATTGACCTGAAATGCACACAAATGCATCAGCGCACACATAAAATATCATGTGAGCATAAAAAAAAAAAACAGAACGCAGGTATGTCTACTTGCAGCAACCTTTGACCTCGCTTAGCGGCTGTTTCCTGAGACAACTGTGTTTTCTAATGACTCGAGAGACTCGGAGAAGAGCTGCACGGCACTGATTGTGCCAAGGTGGAAATAAGTTTAGCCCTCTGCCCTCTCCTTAAGAGGAAAGCAAAGGCCATCCATCCGAACTGTCACTTCATTTCTCTCGTACGTAATTGTACTATATAACTCCAATAACAGCCAGCCCATGACAAACTTTACAAGAACAATGAGTAATCTAAACCCCAAATCACGAACAATGTGTGCTTTAGAATATTTGCACTTTTGGTAAAGAATTAAAAAGATTTAAATATGCAAACTTAAACTAGGCAAATACGGATTGCACACTTTGTTAATAAAAGTAAACGAAATAAGTAAAGCAGCCGTGCTGATGCACTTTCACAACACTGACACAAATAGATTTAGTTATTTTTGGTTTACACAACTCTCCTTTTCTCGGGATCCAAACAACATGTGTGGCAAAACAGCCTTTAACCCTCGACCTTGTTGTCAACTGCTCCTTAACAGTTAGTGCAAGATTGACCTCTTTGTAATGACGTGCCACCTGTGCAATACAGGGTCACAGGTGCAAAAGCAGTTTTTCACGAAGCAACAGATTTATGTTCTCTTTCTCATCCCATTTAGGGTGAGCTTGTCTTTCATAAGTGAGAATGATTGAAAGCATTGTGTACTCTGATCAATAAAAATGGCAGTAATGTAAGTTTAGCGATTCACTCATAATGACTGATTCACTCAAATCAGTTTTTGGTTCTGTAAGCTGCATGTCTGCTGTGGATTTTTCACAGTAATCATCACTCTTGTAGTGAGAAATGACTCGATGTACAGTGTTTTATCACGGCATACGCAGTGCAGTTGTAAAAGTCACTAACAACCTCTCTCCCTGCGCTTGAGATAATTGTGACTAATGTCTGAGCCCTCCAGTCCCCTCCTTCCCCCACCCTGCCTTCGCTCCATTGAGTCAGCACTCTACCCAAGGTGTCTGCTTCTCTGTGGCATCACAGGGTCACTGAAACACTGAGGCAGGAAGAGACCAAGAACAAGCAAAAGCGCAAAAAAGTTGATAACAGTTATGGTGGCTTTTTTTACTTGTAAACATATTCTGGTTGTAAAACGGGTTGTGATCGGATGAGCCGTGCACATAAATGCCCACCTGACCATTATCATACATTTGTCTGCTTGCTACGGGACTGTAAACAACTTTAAAGTTTACAAGTTTAATATTATTTGGCAGAAAAAACGTTTTATTTTTTTATTGATTATTATTACATTTATAATTTTATCATTTATAATAATATCATTTATAGTTGTATTTATGTTGTCAATTTTCTGTTACAGCGATATGATAAAATAAATATATTTATTTCATTTATAATTTTAATATAATATACATATTTTTTACATATACATTTACAATTATATATATTAAATATAATATAATGGTAATACAGTGATCATTTTAATATGTGTATTATTGATAAAATATCTAATAATGAATCATATTTAATGATATTGATTAATTATATTAAAATTAGAATTAATTTGTGCCTCGTAGAACATTTTTGCATTCTAGTATTTTTTAATTTTAGCATTTAAATTAAACACTTAAGTTTAATATAATATAAATTATAATGTATATAATATTACAATAATAAATGTAATCAATATATATTATACAATTATAAATAATAATATAAATGCATA